CAAGGGAAAGCTACCCAGCTGAATCCTTCCAAAACTTAAGCTACTATGTTTGGGGTAGTTTGTGACACAACAGTAACTACTAGAAAAAAGTACTACTCTAAGTGCTCAGCACAATAAATTGGATGGGGTGTGTGGGGGAGGGAGACCAACACTTCAAGCATGTTGTTGAGAAAATTGAGAACATCAGGATAGAGATGATCTTAAAAACTTCCAGCAACAAAAAAACAGAGGAATGATTTTCAATCTCAAATTCTATCCATTCAAACGATGAATCAAATATAAGAAATAACATTTTAAATGTGCAAGCTCCCCGGCTGCCAGTAGATGGTTCCATCAAAATGAGAGCGCGAATCATTTCCTTGGAATTTAGAGAATGTCCAAGCTGTTTGCCCAGAGGGTCATCTCCACAAGAGGAGCTAGCACAGCACCTGACTGTGATAGGAGGAACTTTACACTCAGGGCAGACAGTTTCAGATGAAGCAGCGATAGGAACACAGAAAACCAAGCAAATGAAAAACAAGGCAGTTGACTCCAAGAAAAACTGAAAGTTGTACCTAAAGGAATTGTAACCATAAACCAAAACAGGGCTCAACAGCAAACAGTATTAATATAGTCATATTGAACTCTGAATGCAGATTTCAGCCAACGTTAAACTAGTAGGAGAGGAAATATAGGTATATATGTATGGATGATATATGTTGCAGAGGATAGTGTAAGACAGCTATATCCTTTGCCATTGTAGGAAATCAACAGTTAATGTCTAAAAGCAAGATTAAGAGATAGGTCGGGGGGGAGGGGGGGAGGAAGAAGGGATAAGAGATCAACTAAAGGACTTAATGCATGCATATGAGCCTAACCAATGGACATAGACAGTACAGGGGTTGAGGGCATGTGCTGGGGGTGGGAGCGGCCGGGGAGAGGTCAATAGGGAAAAAAGGAGACTTACGTAATACTTTAAATAATAAAGAATTTAAATTTTTAAAAAAAGAGAGATGGGCCCTTGCGCCCGGCCAATGTGGTTCAGTGGTTGAGCTCGTTGACCTATGAACCAGGAGGTCACAGTTTGATTCCCATTTGAACATGCCCAGGTTGGCAGCTCCATCCCAGTGTGGGGTATGCAGGAGGCAGGTGATCAATGATTCTCTCTCATCATTGATGCTTCTCTCCCTCTCCATCTCTCAAATTGACAAAAATATATTTTAAAAAAGAGAGAGAGAGAAATAGGCCCTGGCCAGGTAGCTCAGTTGGCTGGAGTGCCATCCTCATATGCCAAGATTGTAGGTTCAATCCCCGGTCAGGGCACATATAAGAATCAACCAATGAATGCATAAATAAGTGGAACAAGAAATCAATGTTTCTCCCTCTCGCCCGTCCCCTCTCTAATATCAATTTTTTTAAAAAAGATTAAGAGAATTTGAGAGAAGGGAGAAACCAAGATGGCGGCATAGGTTAACGCCGGAGTTTGCTGCCTCGAACAACCACTTCAAAAATACAACTAAAAGACGGAACGGACATCATCCAGAACCACAGGAAGGCTGGCTGAATGGAAGTTCTACAACTAGGAGGAACCGAGAATCAGAGGAGGCGCAGTGCTGAAGTAAAATACTAAGGTGCGGAGTGCGCGCGGCGCGGGCTGGTGGCTGAGGGTGTGGTTGTCTGTTTCAATCCGGAGGGAGCCTCAGACTCAGAGCTCCAGATCCGGGCGAGTCTCTAGGGACCCAGACTCAAACGGGAGAAGCAGGACTGTCTGGCTACGGTCCCTCCGAGGTTTGCAGCTGTTGCTGGGACAGAGAGGCAGAGCCCCTGGGGACGGACTGAGAGCAGCCATAACTGCTCCCTCCTCCGCCCTGTTGATCCTTTGGACCCACCCCGCGCAAAGCCCTGGCACAGAGCCATTTGCCGATAGCCTCAGGCAAAGGCTAGATTAGCACAGCAGTCGCTGAGGTCAAATCCCTCTAGTATTAACTATAACATCAAGGCTTAACTA